TCTCTCCCACTTCCACTCAACAAGCGGATCCAGATGGTCACCTAACAAGCTTTTCAGGCTCCCTTTAATGCTCAGTCCTAGAGAGGAGAGTTTCTTCATGGTTCCAGATTTTTTCCAGCTTCTGACACAAACCGATAGTTCAAAATTCAAAGATCCAAAGGGTTCCTTCTCCCCCCCTTCAATCTGTCAACAGCCTCCTAGACAAGTGTCTTCACCTTCAAATGTCCTGAGCACTCAAGACACTGGGTGGGGCTTTTTTTCAGAGCCTTCTTTGCAGGCATGTCTTAAACCCATTTAAAGTTTTAATTTTTAATGGCTGAAGACAAGTGGGCTTACAAGCGCTCTATTTTCATATTTTCCAATAATCATTTCTATTAACAATATCATTTCTATCAACAATAATAAACAGAAGGAATCAGTATAAACAAAGTAGAATAAACCCAATTCTTAAAACCGTCAAGTTCAATCCTTATCTAAATTATTCCATTGATTCTCAAAATATGGCCTTAGGCTTCTGACTAAGTCAAGCCAGAGCCAGGCTTTCTGTTAGCCATTTTGACCTCTGTCAGCCATTTTCACTAAGCAGCATGGTCTCTGAGAAATTCAAGGGGGTGATTTTATCCCCTGAGCTCAAAATATACATTAATCATATTTATTTTTACCAATTCAAAGAGGAATAACCAAAGACAAAAACCAAACAAAATAATCAAAACTTTACCTTCCCATGCCATATTCTTTCCAGAAAACAATCCAGTAAACTGCATGGCCATATCCGACCTCTGGCTAGCCAGAGAAGAAACACTACCACGAGGCAGAGGTCGAGCAAGCATCCACTCTCCATCTTCATGACTTGTTTCTCTAGTCCCCCACTCCCAAGGTAACATGGAGGTGTGGGTCCCCATGCGGTTCCTCGAGCTCCAGGGCTCTGGCTCCATCAGCATAGCTCCATGTGTCTTGCCAACAAGAATGTCTCTCAGAGAGTGTGTGTGTCCCCCGCCTCCAGGGAGGAAGACAGGAGTTCCCAGAATCCTGGGGAGAAGGCCATCCCCACACAGGGGCCTCATTGGCGATGACCTGATTGACAGGCTAGACTCCACCCCTTCGCTCAAGTTGACAAAAAATTATGTAACCACCACAGGCATCTGTAGACTTAAATGGAGAATAAGTTAAGAAATAATACCCTTACATTAAAAAAGGTTTTTTATTGTGAATTTTTTAATGGGTTACAGAGCAGATTAGTATTACATTCAATAACCCATACCCATTTTGTTTCATGTCTTTGATTGCAGTCCCTCCGATGTGATATCCCTTATCCACTTCCTTCACACTGTTTCATATTCCATTCCTCCTCCTTACGTAACCCTTCTGAACTTTGTCTTGGGTAAATGCTGTCACTACGATCTCAAGTGGTTGATTATTCAACGGAGTGCATGCCTTGCCAGTGCCATTAGGCTGTTGATGGCTTATATGAAGATTGAGCCACAGGGGGGAGTTCATTTCCAGACCAATGGGTGGCTACGGTCCATAGTCTCAGGCGTTCCACCAGTCCTATCTGACCAGGAAGCTTGGTCTTCTTTGGATGATTTTGAGTTTGGTCCCATATCTTCTCCATGTTATTCGAGACCTTCTAATGCGATCCATTTCAGAGCAGTTGGTAGCAACACTTGGGCACTATGTAGTTTTTCTAGGCACAAGGCCGCGGAGACTGATGTCTGCTGTGCTCATCAGTCCATTGGACCGACTGTACCATCCACGTTCTTACTCATCTTCCCTCCAGACAGGGAGAGACCAACAGCGGCGCCTTAGATGGCTGCCCAGGAGGTTTTAAGACCTTGGTCAATAGGGATTTGAGAGACTTCTCTAGTTCAGTGATTGTCAAACGAGGCTGCACAGTAGACTCACCAGTGAAGCTTTTATCATCAGTCTGTGACTGCCCCATTCCAGATTGCTGACCTCCCATTTTCTGTGGGCGAGGCTTGGGCATTGGAATTTTTAAAGTGTCAAGTGATTCTAAGAGGCCACCAGGATTGGAAGTCACGCCCCTGCCCTGTCCCTCCCTGCACTGTTTTCCAACTGGAAACTGGAAGCTGACCTTTGTAAAGGTCACGCTGTGTGTTACTATTACAGCAGGGACCAAAACCCACATGGTTCGACTTTTCCTGCAAGCATTCAAACAAGTGAAATATAAGTGTTCATGAGCTCAGGGCCAACGGTGGAGACAGGCCATGTGAAACACACAGAATGAGAACAAGGTGACGAAAACCATGACAGTTCTTGTAGGGACTCATTGAAGCCTCATTGCCATCTAACAGCGTGGTCCCCGATACATTATTGTACTGACAATCACAGTTCCTCCTAGAGTAGGCGGGCTCAGGACCACCAGTGTTCCTGTTTGCGTGTAGTTGTATGTGTCGCTGCTGGCAGCAGACTGGGTGTAGGATAGTAGGAATTTCCTGGGAACAGACTCAAGCTTGTCCCAGGCTGGACTGGGAAGTGACGTTCATTCTTCTGTGGTGTGTTATTAGATCCTTTTTCGCCTTCTTGCTGCCGCCTGCACATCTTTACCCGATTCATGTGATTGACAGCAGTACCTGGTGAAGTGTTTCATGACAGGAGTCCTCAGGCATCTTCCTAAAAAGGAGTAACTGATGTTGGCTTTGGAACTTCTGGCTCCTGAGCATGTCCATCAGTGTCTCTGGGTCAAGGGCAGTCC